ACCAGCCTTCTAAATTAGTTCACTTTAATTAGCAATGGGGAGGTTTTAATTTATTATTCCTTATTTAAGAAACTTCTGAACTGTTACTTCTTGGAATAGAATTTCAATTGTACGTGAATGTTCGTTTCTTCATGTCGTGATAAGATTTGGAAAATTAATTTAAATTGTTACTTTAAGTTTGAGAACGTAACTTTCTTATAAGAAATATGCCATTAACCTATTTGCGTCTAGCTATCTCTCAAAAAGGCGGTTCGCTTTTTTTTTCTTCTTTTTTTTTAAAAAAAAAGGAAAAAAAGTAATGTGTTTATTGTTGAGACTTATTTGGTAAATGTTAATAAATGTTTGGTAAATATGAGTCTTTGTAGGATAGTTCTTAAAACAAAGGACAACACAAAAGTGATACTTTTCAAACGTCAGTGAAGGAATAAGCTATTTGTTTTTACTCATATTGATATGTAAATTCTGCAACCATCGTATATACAATAGCACAAAACACGTGTGCAGTCCCACAGTCCAACAGCGAAACTCCCAAATAAAACTTGGCTGTTGTTGTTGTTAATTTACGTTACATTTTATTGCTAGTATGAATGCATTTCGCAAAAATGTAAATAGTGGTCCTGAAATAATCTTTCATTTATCCAGCACTTTTTTGCGTCTCTGCGATACATGACACCGCAATTTTATTCAAACTAGTAGTACTAACGGAAGGGAAGCGACTTTAACAATCATTATTTGCATCTAAAATAGTAAAAATTTCATCTTGCCAAGCTTAAATTACAAAATTTTCAATTTTTTTTTAAATGGAGTAAAATTAATTCTGAATATGGAAAAAAGTTTCAATTGATTTACGAAAAAAAAACTCTCGCTTTGTTTGAAGTTTATGATATTCAAGTTTATAACTCGTAAAGACACATTTCTGTTAAATATGTTTTAGGCAACAATTTCCTGATATCAATTATAAAAAATTAGATACATAATTTAGCTTTCTTTTTACATAAACACAATGTTTTTTTTTTAAATTTTAAACACCATTTCACAGTTTTCTTACGCAATTCAGAAGACGCTCGAGCTCTGTTGTCCAATCGAAAATAAACTTTATAACTTGAGGACGCTTTTGCCGTATCGTGAAAACGCATCACTATTGCAAATATTTACTTTTATAATTCATAAATACAAGGTATTCATATAAAATAGACGTCATAACGCGAGGTACACAAATATATAGAAAATATTTAACTGTAATACTGGAACTATATTGTAAAAAATATTATTCTATTCCATTTTCGGGATTTACTCAGAGATTATTGGGTACTTATTTGGTAAGTCGGCTTTTCAAAATATATTTACTTTTTGCTTATGGCTTTGTGTTGGTTACGAGCTTTTGCTTTGTGGGGCTAGTAGTTATCGACAATGTAAACTTTCATCTATGGAAAATTAACCCATACCATTGAACCGAGTTAACATGGGACTAGGGAATTGTAATTATACTAGGGAATTGTAATTTTATAGTGGTAGACACACTACAATACTCCCCCACCAGAATTTTACCTGCAATAGAATTCGATGAATGGGTACCACTAGTTGATTCATTGCTGTTTTGTGAGAAGCCGGGTGAGCTGTGCTAAGATCACCGTACTCTTTGAGTGCTGATCGTGAGAGCTGTATTAAGTTCACGGTCTTCCTCGCTCCTGTGTTGCCTTTAGAAGTTGATAAAACACATTGTACGTTGTGTGTGATCGAGACTGAGTGGCAACAGCGCGAAGAGGTGAGTAATGTCGCAGTCACGTGTAGCTAGTCAACTGTTCAACGTGGACCATCCGTCGAAGTAGACGTGTTCAGATCGAAAAGGGCGTTACTGTTGAGATAGGCTAGTTCATATCGAAGTGGGAGTTTTGATCAAAGTAGGCAAGTTCACACCACGTCCGGGTCACCAATGTGGAGAGAGTACTAACCACCCTGTCAACCTTTGTCTATGAAAAGGTATCCCACTGTAGAATCGAGTAAGCATGTCTTATATACTAGTGAATTGTAAATTTGTAGTGGTAGACACACTACAGTAACATACATCAAAAGAACAGCAACGTCAAAATGAAAATAGGAAGATTTCGCACTTTTACGTAAGCTTCACTAAGCTCCCGTAAGTAAGATTTGAAGTAACTACGCATGCTAAAGTTATTTTTTAATGCTACATATCTTTATGTTTAGTTGGTGTGATTAACGCTACAAAGACAAGTCTACAAGCGCGCTGTATATAGCTGTTAAATGTTGGTTTCTCTTTAAGATAACTTTCGAACTTAAAACATGAACATCGAATGTGAATTTGACGAAATATATTGATGAAATTTAGAAATGAATCGTGTGATATTACAAAAATTGTTTAAGCGAAGACATACGTCCATTGTAAATGTTTGCTTTGATTTTTTTTGTCAAAGTTAACATAATAGCTCTTTTAACATACGGATTTTTGCGAAATCTCTTATTTTCTCTTACGTAAGTTTGATATTTTTTCACGGGCCATGCATTTTTCACGAGAATTGACGCATGCGCATTAAGAGTGCTCATACACAATTATTTAAAATTTTACAGTCTCTGACCAAATTATTAGACGCACTTAAGATTCCATGCATAATCTTAATTATCATGCAATACTATACAGCTTTTTACCCGACTGAAACCGGTTTGCACTTGTTTACATCCGAGTATCAATGGGTTAAATAAGACGATATATAATATAAATTCGGTGATTGAATAAATTAAACGATATATTATATAAATATAGAATATTTATTATATCAGGTATTATATGAGTATATTATAATAGATCGATCAAATGATTAGATGCACTATAGTTTTATAATAATCACATGTTTTGCACGAGTTCATAGGCAATAATTTGAACATAAATGTAATGGGTTATTATTCAAGAGCTATTTTTATATACTTCCTATTTGTATTTATTTTGAACGTATTGCATTACAATGTTAACCCATTGATACAGGAGTGCAAACCGGTTTCAGTCGTGTAAGAACAACAATGCTGTAAAATATAACAGTATAATTAAGATTTTGCACAGAATCTTTAGTGCGCCAGGGGCTGCATGTTAGGGAGTTAACGTACATTTGCGAAGTTTCCCTCATGAAATGAAGAAGTATGTTACGTGTTTTTAACTAAAAAGTAAATCACCTCTTCTTCGCCAACAGAATGAAAAGAGAATGTTATCTAACAAAAAAATATGTGATTGATGAACTTATTGAATCTTTTCTAAAGCATACATGAGACTCCCCACGAGGGTGCAGTATCCACTTTCTCAATAATAAAAACGATACTTCACCCATCTTTTTGACCATGGGTTATACCTATGTGTAACTCTTTTTCTTCAAGATGCTTCAAGTTTATTGAGCGCAGACATCAGAAAAGAAATGGTGGTTTGAATCATTTCCTCCACAACTTTTCTATTCAATGTCAATCGAAAAGTGTTATGAAAGCAAAGAAATGTCGAGCATTTATTTTTCGATCATTATTGTTTGAATTGTAGAAAAAAAATGGAAATTGATTTCTTTGATATATTGAATAATAATGGAATATTAATGAAGTAGATAGTTCGGAATCTCAAATAATCATTAAAATAACATTGCGTCTATGTATTAACAAATGAAAATGTATTCATCATTTCTCTATCAACTGTTACTTGGATTAGTCTACGAAGGGTCCGAGGGTGGGCGGTATCTGTCCATCAAAGAAAATTAAACTGTTCTACTGTAAAGTGGTCGACTCCACGTGCAGGCCATCGGGCTACCCAAGCAGGGGAACCCACCCTTCTGTAGAGGATCAAAATTGCAATAGCATGTCTTCGGATCATCCTCAGGGATGTTTCCCGGACCGTCGCCAATAGCCCATTGTGCAGCTCTAGTGAGACGTAAATAAGGTACCTACCTATCAAATGTTTTAAAAAATTGATTTTATTTAAATTAGAGAGAGATTTCATAAATGAATGTTATGTTGCAACTTAAAGTATGTATTTCTCCGTGATCATTCTTGCATGTTTTATTTTTAGAATGGTATGTCTTTCAATTTTTAAACGACTCTTAAAAATTCAAAATATGTATATTATTTTAGCTATTTTACTTTATTTTGTCATCTAAAATGAAAGAAACTGCTTATATTTTAATATAAAATAAAATAAACTCAGTGGCACAACAGCCCATGGAGGGCCAAGGCCTACTGTGCCCATCTCAGTTTTCCTGACCTTGGGCTCTGGGGTGCAGAAGCAGATGTTCCGGTTAGGTGGTCAGCCGAACGCGAAACCCCCAATGTTTAGTTCCCAAGCATGATTGATATTCATTTATCGACCCACTGAAGGGATGAAAGGCTGAGTCAACCCGAGGCCGAGGATCGAAACCAGGACCTGTAGCACGGGAGCGCGAAGCGCTACCACTGAGCCACCGTCGTCTATATTTTAATATGCTATTAATAAAAATCCAAATAAAAGGGAAAAACCTGTAGCTTTAATTTAATGCTTTAAATAATGCTTCTAAATTCTGTTTCCACTGAATTAACTGCAGGTTGTTTTACATGCATAATACAATTATTTTAAGTTAAAAACTTTCAAAATATAATATAATATAATATAATATAATAAAATAACAGTAACATAATTTTGTTGCTCTTNTGACAATCATTTTTTGTAAGAAAGAAATAAAATGAGTGAAAATTTGCGAGAAAGAAGCTACTTAAATTTTATACTATATATATATATATATATATATATATACATACCAAATAAAAGAGACAGCATGCCTCATTCATAATGTTCAAAAAATAGAGAAGGATATGTTTTAAAAATGTTCTTACATTGTTCGAGCGAGTCTTATTTTTTCAATTTTAGAAATTGTAGCTTGTGATAAGTTTAGCTGTTCTAATCATTTTCACTTAGAAAGGAGAATGAAACTACATGAGAAATAATTCAACAAGAATTATAATAAAAACTTTGATACTCCAAATAAAAATCAAAAATAATTTAATTATAGAAATGCTATTTACATTAAAAAACAAACAAAATATTTTGTCATTCACCCATCATGTCCCAAAACGACAAACACCCTTTTAAAAAAATAGCAACCCTATAAGCAGACATGTTCGTAAAGTAAGTAGAAGCGGCAACTAGACTAGTCAATGAGATCATGGACGCAAAACATGATGTTTCACGATTTTCTATTCTTCATAAAACGACATTCCCGTAGAGTGGTGACCACCTCCACCTCCAATGTGGACGCCACCACCTCCGTGATGAGGTGGAGGCTTTGTTGTGGGTGGAGCAGCAGTTGTTGGAGGAGCGTCAGTATGTCCACCAAATCCTATACCGTTCTCCAGTTGGATTCCAAAGAATAATTTCTTCTTCAAATCGAATTTCGGCCTGAGAATTGACCTCAGTAGCCCAAACGAAGGCATGATGGTGATGCTGACAGAAGGAGCAGGTGCCGGGGTGGGCTGGTGATGGTGATGGTGATAATAGTTGTCGTTTCGCTGTGATTCGTGCGCGTAGTTTGTTCGGTGTGGGGGTTGGCGGTAGTGGTGCGGGGGTGCTTGATGATGATGAGAGGCTGGTTGTTGGTGTTTATGAGATGGATCTTGTTGATAATGATCTGTAGTTTGGTGGTGATGAGGGGGTTCATGATGGTGACGTGGAGGCTCGTGCTGTTCTTGAGACTCTGTTGATTCATATTTACGGTGTGCGGGCTCAACCTAAGTAACGATAAAAACATGTAAGTACGGTCCCAGAACAAATTATTAGACGCACTATAAGATTCTATGTATAATCTTAATTATTAGGTGACACTACACAGCTTCATTGTTTTTACGCATCTGTTTGCACTTGCTTATGTTCGTGTATCAATGAGTTAACATTGGCATGTAACAGGTTAAAAATAAATACGAATAGAAAGTATATATGAAAAATCACCCGAATAAAACCCCATTACATGTATGTTTAAATATAAAAGTATGTCATATAAACTCGTGCAAAGACATGTAACTATTAAAAAGCTACAGTGCCTTCAATAATTTCATCTAATTATTATAATATACTAATATAATACCTGATATAATAAATATTCTATATTTATATAATATATCGTCTAATCGTCGAATTTATGTTATATATCGTCTATTTTAACCCATTGATATACTAACGTAAACAAGTGCAAACAGTCACGTAAAAACAATCAGGCTGTATAGAGTATCACCTGATAATCAAGATTTTACACAGAATCTTAGAGTGCGTCTGATAATTTGACCAGAGACTGTAAAAAATTAGAAAAAAATTTTTTTAAATAACTTTAACATTCTGCAGTATTTTCAAAGGCATTATTTTTAATATATAACAAAAAATTATTTTAGAGAAAAATAATGATATCATAAGACTATTACATACCGTTGTAGACACTTTCGCATGATATGGAATAAAAGATATTACCGAAAATTCCGTAACATTTTCCAGAAGTAAGCATGATGAAATGTTTTGTTTTGCGTCATCAAGCATTGTTGACATTTGTTACTTGTTGTTTCCCGTTCTAGGGTATTCCCTAGAGGGTCGTTCTAGGGTGAATCTTCATTTTATGCACTCATCCCATATTTTTATAAAAAAATTTTGCTTTTAGGATTTTTGAAGATCGCAGAAAGTTAGGAAATATCACAAAGGTCAAATAAACTGGTGTAGTTATTTTAGGACTCAAAGTTGATTTGCGGTCAAACTGACTGCTCTGGTCATTTGCTTTTTAAATTATTTAACGGATTAGAAGCCTCAGTGACGAAAAATAGCATAACTGAGACGTTAGATGGGAGTTTCATGACATCCAACGTGTTAACGATCAGACTTCAAAATTCAGAGAAATTGCTTTAAGGCTCTTAAATATTACTTCATGTTTGTTAAATGCATTAGAATATGTAAAAAAATGTGTAAATGAACAGAAGTAATGAACTAAAAATATGCTTGTAAATTTAAATATAAATATAATTAAACAGGAATAAGATAAATTAGTTAAGCATTTAGTAAGACATCCTTTTAGTTTTAAAATAATCTACTTTTTGCTTGCCACACAGTTTTCAAATAATTACAGTAAGAAAATTTATTTCCCATAAATATTTATTACTTAGTTAAACAAACGTTAATGATAACTTATTTGCATTCCCTGGCCATTTTATTAGACATATTATAAGATTCTATGTAAAATCTTAAGTATCAGTTGATACACTTTACAGCTTTATCGTTTTTACACGACTGAAACCGGTTTGCACTTGCTTACGTTAGAGTATCAATGGGTTAAATGAGACGATAGATAATATAAATTCGACGATTGGATACATTAGACGATATATTACATAAATATAGAATATTTATTATATTAGTATATTATATCAAATTAGACCAAATTATTAGGCGCACTGTGGTGTTGTAATAATGATATGTTTTGCACGAGTTTATAGGCAATACTTTTAATATTTAAACACACATGTAAAGGGTTTTTATTTAGAAGATTTTTCATATACTTTCTATGTGTATTTATTTTTAACGTATTGCATTACAATGTTAACCCATTGATACACTAACGTAAGCAAGTGCAAACCGGTTTCAGTCGTGTAAAAACCATAAAGCTGTAAAGTGTATCAACTGATACTTAAGATTTTACATAGAATCTCGTAGCGCTTCAAATAATATGGCCAAGGACTACTAATTCCACTCAAAACAGTACATACTAATTTTACAAAACCTATACTCATTTTCTGCAAACGTTCTTTGTGCCTGCATATTATACCTGCATAGTATTTTTTAAACGAAAATTTTTATTATGTCTGCAGTTTATTATGAGGTGTTGAATCTAAAATTGAAATTAAAATTACTTTTCGAAAAAATGTAATATAAGTTATTAACATAGGATATTGAACGAGTCCAATATAAGTTTGAAACTAGCGAAACCAAAAAAGCTTCTTTACTTCTTACAAAAAATTGTAATTAATTGTAATTTAGTATTTAAATAAAAAGTGGAAATTATTTTCCTTATTATATAGAAAACATTTTATTTTTCGTCACTATTTTAAATCGCTTTAAATTAAAATCGTTCGTTAAAATCGAAGTTAAAATCGTTCAGAACAAAAATTGTATACAAATAAGTAACCAATTTTCATGTAATAATTAACCTATTTTTCCAATATCAGTTTTTTTAATCCAAATCTTTTTTCAATTGTTTTTAAGAACATGTAGCAAGTGACGTTTAAATTTTGTCGAAAAATTTAGCTTTTGTATAAAATTTGAATGTTTTTTTTTTAAAATTCCTTGATGTCATATTCCATGAAATTAAGAAAACTGTTTTAAATAATATTTATCCACCTTATCTTCTATTAGAGGTATAATTTCGTATGAAACCTTGAATTTTAACTAATTTTTTTTCTGCATTCTGAAAATTGGCAGTCAAAAAATCATTTAAGTCTTCAATGGTCTGACATTTTTTACTGCATTGATATTTAATTTCTTATTGAACGAAACTCATAAATGGAAAATAATAACAGAAAATACTTCAATATCTTTCATTGGAAAAAAAAATTCTGCCAAGCGGTGAAAAAAATATAATTTCTCTAAGAAAGCGAGAAATGATTTAGTTTCTCTTCTTCCCATATTCAACTAAAAGTATTTTTACGACTAGGAAATTTTTTTTTCATGTCCGCCAAATATTTTTTTTTCTTCTTTTTTCCGCAAAGATTTGTCTCAGAAACTGTAAAATAAAACTATAGAAAATTCCGATAACTGTGCAAAATTCTTTTAAATATTTTCTTAAAATATAAATATATATATTTGATTTCGTTGAAAAATTTTTATAGAAAAAGGTGAAAAATATGGTATTTCAAAGTTTGCAGGTTTTTTTTTTAATATTTTTCATTTTTATAAAAAGCTAATATCAAATCAGATTGAACTTAAACTAACATAAACGAACGAATATTTTCTTTTAATCTCTGACATTACATAGAATTCGGATCTTTTCAGTTGAACTTAAGTGAGAAGTTGACTATCAAACCAATCCAAAATTGAAAATCACTTAATTTTTTTTAAAAAAAGTTTAAGTAGTTAAGTTTTTTTATAAACAGATCATAGAAGACTTCGAAAACATTCGGATGCTTTTAGCAATTGAATGTAAACTCGATTAAATTTAAACTCAATCAAATTCAAAAGATTAAAAGCAGGTTTTAAAAAAGTTGGAAAAATGTGACCCACTCTTCCCTTTTTTAAAAGCTTGTTAATAATAAAAATATAGGAGGGCTTCATTAAATGGCTCCTTATTTTGCTCAAAATAATGTTAATAAATAGTTAAGTGATATGCTTAAATGAATGTTTATAAATTAAATATGTATTTTTTCTGCCCAATTCAATTTTTCTAAATAAAGAATACTAATTTTTCTGCTCAATTTAATTTTTCTTATTAAAGAATACTAATTTTTCTGCTCAATTTAATTTTTCTAAGAAAAGAATACTAATTTTTCTTCTCAATTTAATTTTTCTAAATAAAGAGTACTAATTTTTCGACTCAATTTAATTTTTCTAAAGGAAGAATATTAATTTTTCTGCTCGATTTAATTTTTCTAAATAAAGAATACTAATTTTTCGACTCAATTTAATTTTTCTTAATAGAGAATACTAATCTTTATGCACAAATGATTATTTATAAATTAAATACATAGTTATTTATTCTGTTCAAATCGATATTTTTTTTTAGTTAAACAGTTAAATATTATGCTGAAATTAATGCTCATAAACTAAAGAGTTAATTATTTTTCTGAAATTAATATTCATAAACAAGAAAGAATATATTCTCAAAATACTTTTCCTTTCAAAATACATACATGATGCCTGAACTGAGATGACTCCGTATGTTGGTCAAGTAACAGATCCGATTTGTGATCTTTTCTTCTCGATTTTCTCCCTTTCTTTTTCTTCTTTCTGGGAACTGCCTCTTGCTCCTCCTCATCATCATCATCATAATCATCGACGTCATCCTCTTTCGGAGGCATAGGAGCAATTACTATAAACTGAGGAGACCCGTTACCTATAAAAATTGTATTGCTTTCTTTTAACACATCTTCTCAAATATATGCGCTGTTGGAAATTTCTCGGGGAAAATGGTTCAATAACAATTTATTGAATGGTTATTTTACCGTATTTAATCAAAACAGTCAAATAGCCATCAATAAAATGGTACTCAAACTGTTAAGTTTGAAAAAAACTGTTTATTAACTGTTTTCACCTAATATGGTTAAACAGCCAGAAACAACCCACTAGAACCACCTAATGAAGCTACTTAGTTCTTCGCAACTGCGTACATATCATAGCCGAGCTGGCTTAGCTGACAATTTCGTAACCGGCAGAACTGGAGTTCGATTCCTAGTGTAGACACCACAAAGTTTTCTCCATTCCCTTCAACACATGAAGAATTTCCAGTGTCCGGCACTCTCCAATGCCCATTACCTTACGAAACGACGAGCTCTTATGTCTAGATAAATAATTAATTTTTTTTCTTATGTTTTTGAAAAATGCTAGTTGTAAATGGTTAAAAAACCGTATAGTTTTGTGTTCATGGTTTTATAACCATTTTTTTTGTAAATGGTTTCAAAACCATAAAGGAAAAAAAAATGCTCTTCACCGTAAACTTTACGGTGTATCGGATGGTCAGAGAGCTGCCAGTTATTTTACCATAATTTTAGAATGAAAATTTTAACAGTGGGGTGGCGTATTGTGCGAAAATAATATTAAAATATGTTCAATAAAAAAAAAGCAGAGCTCCCAAAACAAAAAGCTCATAATTTGATCTAATAATATAAGATATTTCTTCTAACATTATTTTCAGAATACTTATTAAAACTTTAAGAAAAAAAAGCATACAAGTAGGAATCGAAATTAATACTTAACTGGGAGAAAGAGCAGACACGCTATGTTAATCTGTCCGTAGCGCAGAATTACAGTGTCAACATAATAAATGACATCTTTTAAATGGAAGGCAACAGAAAAACAGTTGAACGAGGATTATCAAACTCAAATGAAACATGCTTTAGTGTTTATTACAATCACTTTCCCCGACTGTAATGAGTCAGGTGGCTATAGTATATTTGTCTTTTTTTTCTAACTTAAATATTATTTGCCACCTTTATTGCGTATATTTTTTGTTTTCATTTTTGATAAGTTTTCTTAAGGTAAGTACGATCTTTATGTCTGCGAAATGTTTATCTAAAAGGATTTGTATTTTATTTTATTTCGCAACTGTCGTTGAACAACCCACCCAATTTCGAGTTTACAACTACCAACGTTCAACTCCGTAGCATTGTCATTTTGAACGCGATCCAAAAGACAAAGGAACTCCTGGATCAAGTAATCGGGCAAATGTACCTTCGTGGTGGACTTTATGATTGAACTAACGCACACAAGCGTTACACGGAAAGGAAAACCACGAAAATCTCCCGTGATTAGCCTGGCGGAAAGAGGACTATCCAATGATCCGTCTACCAGTGAGATTAATAGACGGTAACTATGTTTTATAGGCACTGGAAAACTTATTAGACTGATAATTGTTTTTTCAAAACTTTAAAGATCTAGAGAAATTGAACAGAAGTTTTGCCTAACAAAACTTTCCACATGGCAGTCATTTGAGAGTTGAAGTCTTGTTTTAATAGAGACAAAACAGTACAGAGGCATAACTTTTTTTGTAGCCGCGCTGGCTGAGGGGATAGAGCGTTCGCCTTCCAATGAGGTGAACCGGTTTCGAATCCCAGTCGATACAAATTGCGCAGCCGACTTGCAGCGACCACAGTACTGACGTGAAATATCCGCAGTGGATCATGGGTTAGAATCCCTTTGCCGTAAGGGTAACCGTAGTTGGTTCTCGTGATCTTCCTTTCCCTGTGACGCAACTGTGTGTTAGCTCCATCAAAGAGTCCTCCACGAAGGCAAATTTCTCTCAATACTCGATCCAGGAGTTCCCTTGTCTTCTGGATTAGGTTCGAAATGACAGGGCTACGGAGTTGAACATGAGTATCCGTAAGCCCATAAAATTGGGTCGGCTGTTCAACGACGGTTAAGATAAAAGTAAGAGTATAATTGAGAAAAAACTTAATTTTTTTAACTGTTTCCTTACCAATTTTTTTTAAGAAAAAAAAGCAAAAAATCAACATATTTTTTTTATTTCATTAATAAACATTTCTATTGACGAACTCTGCTATGCCCGAGTTTACTTGGGATAGTAAATATTTGCAATATATACAAACCCGAGTTAAGTCGGGATAATTCAAGGAAAACGTTAATTAACAGTGATAAATATAAGTTTAAAAATAAATCTTTAAAAAAAATTTATTGCCACAAATAATTACCGCTTTTTCCTTTGCTGTCAGACAAAATTTTCTGCAGAACATTCACGGAGTCAGGGTGCGGCTTCCTGGGATCGAGAAACTCTTCCTTCGGTTTGTCCTCTGGCACATAATGCACGACGTACAGTGGATCTTTGTCCGTTGATGTTGCTTCAGGTGGAGCTGGCAACACTTCCACGGATCCGGGACTGGGAGCTGTAATCAACTCTCTGTCATCCGGCACGATATCCGGCCCAAGTTCATGTTTGTTCATCGAAGCTCCGATGGGCAACTTCGCACCGAATCCCAATTCATCTTTACGCTTGCCAAACCAATCGGGATGCTTTCCATTTCTCAAATAACTGTCCTGCTGAATATAAATAAAATTGACTTATTATTTAGCACAATTACCCGATATTTTTACTGCTTTTTATTTCAAAAATATCAAAAATATTATCAGGCACCTATTCGACGCAATATGAGATTCTATGTAAAATTTTAATTATCAGGGGATACTATACAGCTGTATTGCTTTGACGCGGCTGAAACCGGTTTTCACTTGTTTACGTTCGTGTATCAATGGGTTAACATTTAAATACAATACGTTAAAAATAAATACAAATAGGACGTATATAAAAAATCTTCTGAACAAAAACCTATTTCATGTGTGTTTAAATATAAAAGTATTATATATATAAACTCGTGCAAAACATGTCATTATTAAAAAAACTACAGTGTGTCTAATCTTATATAGGTCTAAATATTATAATATACTAAGATAATACCTGATATAATAAAGATTTTATATAATATATCGTCTAATTTTTCCAGTTGGTGAATTTATATCATATATTGTCTCATTTAACCCATTGATACATGAACGTAAACAAGTGCAAACCGGTTTCAGTCGCATTAAAAACAATAAAGCTGTTTAGTATCATTTGATAATTAAGATTTTATGTTGTTGTAGTTCATTTACGTCGCACTCGAGCTGCACAATGGGCTATTGGCGACAGTCTGGGAAACATCCCTGAGGATGATCCGAAGACATGCCATCACAATTTTCATCCTCTGCAGAGGGGATGGCATCCCCGCTTCGGTAGCCCAACGATCTGCACGCGAACGGTAGAACAGTTTAACGAGGACCAATACCGCACACCCTCGGTCCCTACGCAGACTGATCCAAGTGGGTCACCCACCCGCACACTGACCGCAGCCAGTGATGCTTGACTTCGGTGATCTGCTGAGAACCGCGTTTTAACGATCAGTCCACTGCGGGACGATTAAGATTTTACATAGAATCTTACAGTGCCTCCAATAATTTGGATAGGGACTGTAGATGGCGACACTGGAGAGCAAGAACAATCGCAGCCCCTCCGCCTTAATAGCTGATGACAACAACAACAGCAGCATATCATTCAAATCATGTTGCATTTAAACATTAAGAATGTTAAACATTAAGTATAATTTATGTTTCGGAGTATTTATTATATTATGTGACTGAAGTAATAAAAAAGAAAACTTTCAAATTCTGCATTCCTCTCCAATCCTTAATATTGTCCATAATGTTTGGAAAACGACATTTTCTGCTTTCAATTATTCAACTTAATCTTTTTATGATCCATGAGTTAAAGAGAGAATTATTCAGAGTTAAGATTCAAAGGAGAATCAGAAAGTATGATAAATTGATAAAACGTATTTTTTAAAAAAAAAAAAAAACAGTTGATTTCTCTTATTTAAAGAAGTCTTCTTTAGTACAAGAATTAAATGTTTTTAAACTATACTTCCAAGTAAGAAAAATAAATAAAAATGGAAAATTTGAACTCTTTTTTCTCCGTGAAATTTATGGGGTTCAGGTAAAAATATTGAGATGATGTCACTGAGTAAAAAACAAATTATTTCTACTCCGTTAAAAAACAGTATATTTTACCTTAATCTATGAAAAAATATAGTTACTGAATAAATATTCTATTACAAAAAATATTCTTAGGGTATTTCAACTTTTGCTAAGCCCATTAATATATATATATATATATATATATATGAAATAGAAAATTAACTAAGAAATTTAATGATATTGGCACAAAATTTAGGTCCATATACCATAAATGAATTATTAAAATTCTAAAATGTGCTCTAAATGATCTCAATAGTTTTTGTCTAAATGTTTTCAATTGATTATCTTTAGGTCTATTTGCAAAATGGAAATGGCTACTTAATCAATACTTTTTCTCAATAATAAAAACACTATAAACGGCAATAATAATTCAACTAATTTTTCTAAAATTAATTATACTATTAGACAATTTCAGGTGAATTTTGTGGTAACTCCCATAGAAAACGTTAATAATATATATTTATCTCTGGAAAAAAATTCTGTTTCGTATTTTATTAAATATGGAATTGATAAATAAAAAGAATTTCAAACTAAGTAATTTAAAATAATATTATCATAAAGTGTTTAACTTTCTATTAGTGATTAAATACTAAAATCATTTTCCATGTTTAATAACAATTCCATACAATTTCCATGTTTAATAATTTGCCCAAAATTTCATACAATATCCGTTATAAATTTCGAAGGATCACTTGTGGTTCTGATATTTATCTAACTTTACCTGGTACTATATTCTCTTATTACTTAAGAATATTGTTAAAGAATGTTTTATATGGGTTTTTATCTATCGGCCTATTTTAGAANGGAAATAATAAGTAAAAAAATAACAAACAACAGTTTTTTTTTAAAAAAAAAAAAGGGGGATGAAATTTTATTTAAAAAACCGGAAAGAAAACCGGAAAAAAAAGAGGTATAATCTTTTCATCAGCCCACACGATTATATCCGTAAAACAGAGTGCTTTCTGATCCCTTTTTTCATATGTCTTTAATTTTTCTTTGTTTTATTCTTCTTTTTGAACTTATCTAATGGTTTCTGTTTACTTGCAGCTTAAGCGCAATAAATGAAACTTATTGTTTTACTTAACTTTCTTCGTGTTTTCTTGTATTTATTTATTTATTATATATATATATATATAATGATGATATAGATCTAGATAGATAGATATCTAATGATAACCCAACTGATAATTATTATAATCCTTTGCAGAGAGCCGTAAAGGCTCAAGGGGATAGAGCGTTCGCCTTCTAATGAGGTGAACCGTTTTCGAATCCCAGTGATGGCTGGTCGATACGAATTCCGCGTACGGCTTGCACCGACCACAGTGTTGACGTAAAGTATCTTCAGCGGTTGACAGATCATGGGTTAGAGTTCTCTTGTTGTCAGACTAACTGTTGGGGTATTCGTGGTTTTCCTCTCCATGTAATGCAAATGCGCGTTTTTTTTTCACGAAAACTGATTTTGTCAAATACTTGATCCAGGAGTTCTCACGCCTTCTAGATTGCGTTCAAAATTACGAGACTACTGAGTTGAACATTTGCAGTCGTAGACCCCGACACTAGGAAGGCTGTTTTAATAATATCCTTTGCAAAAATATTTTTTTTAATTCATTTAAACGCCAACCCATAAATATCTCGGTGGTATGTGATAAAATGGACTAATTCCATTTTTAAAAATAACGGCTCATTAACTAACACAATTGTTTTAGGTTGAGTCCACGCTATATTTAATTGAATAAATAAACAATGAATTGAAAAACTCACTCATTCGATTAATTGTGGTCAAAGCGTTTCATATGCGTTCATTTTTCTAAACATTCTTTTTTAAAGAAAAAAAAGAAGCGTTGTCACTTTGCTTTAACAGTCACGGACTGCGATAAATTTCCCTTTCGCGTCATTCACTTTCAAGAACTTACAAAAAAAAGGTTCGTCATTTTCAATTTGTTCGAAAAAAAAACTGTTCCTTTTTCTCGCATCGTTGACTACACATTTTCCTCACTCATTTGTTGACAGATTATTAGCTGATTATTAGCACTTTATTATCCGAACATTTTGCACTAACCTGAAGCTAAATGTTTACTTTTGAAAACGATTGTTTTAAATCTTCGGCTGTTTACTGTCCCAAAGGAAAAATTTTGTTTTTGTACATGATTTGATTTTTCTTTTTTTTTTTTTTTTTTTTTNTTTTTTTTTTTTTTTTTTTTTTTTTTTTTTTTTTTTTTTTTTTTTTTTTTATAGCATAAAATTTTGAGAGGATACCACCATTCTACAAGATTCAACAAATATATAATAAAGCATGACAATGCAGAAATGTACAAAACGCAAAATAAAAAAATAAAGAACTTTAATATCAAAACAAAATATTAATTACAAAATCAGAAAGAATTTTCCACCTTAGACAAGTTTTCCGGCAATTTGTTGTTTTATTTAAATAGTTACTTCCGTTTTTAGCAGATTACAATGTATACAAATTCAATTAATGTTATGAACTTCAGGTTTTTCCGGGAGTTTGAAAGTTTACCGTTTACCATTTCTCTTACAGCTACATAAAAAAAAAAGCAGCACAGAAACATCTTAACATAAATGCCATATTCTCAATGATTAGTGGTCAGAAACTCAAACTGAATCTGAATTTTATTTTTAAATTTTTTATGTTATTAAAATTCACTAAATCAGTTTTAAAATTTAAGAGACAGGTATCTAAATGAAGAATTGACAGAAATCTACTTCGTGAATCAACGGTGACAATATAGAAAAAATATGATTCACTACAAAATGAAAAAATTTTGATCGCCTTGCGGCAATCACAGGTTGCCCATTTTGTTATCTTATTTATTTATTTTATTTTTGTAAAGAAGCTTCATTTATTTTTTCATCTTGAACATCTTTAACTGTTAATCCAGATCTGATCGGTACACAATTTCGCAGACATATTTAAATGCAGATCAGACACATTCTGTGCTAATTCTTCTAATGACTGAATAGACATTGAACAGCCAATCGAGATCATTACTAACATTTTCGGATAGGTACAATGGTTTTGGATGGAGATTGTAAGCTGCATCATACACCCGTTTCGGATTTATAAATTCATACATGAAATATGATTTGAAAGCTATATTTTATTTTTTTCAATTTTAAATGAATAGTGAATGAATCATTTATAGTGCGTGGAAGACAGTCTTGAGCAAGTTATTGGGTACGTAGACAATGGATCCTTTTATCCCTAACTGGTGATCAACACCCAGTTCTCGTATTTGCATGAAAGGGATTCGGAGAGCCACCATTCACTCTTTGGTAAGGTTCAATTCTCTCAACCACTTTTGTGAGGGACGGGCTTCATTGCTTGCGTTTGCGAACGGAATCCATACGTTTTTCCATTTGTGTGTAACGCTTAAGGTATTCCCGTCTACGCTCTTAGGCTTCGGCTTTTTCAGCCTCGGTAAGTTTAGGCCTTGGCATCCTTTTTTTCTTGC